GCAGGGGAAAGCTGGGCCACAGCCTTAGGAAGGGGAGCTAGGGAGAAAGAACCAGGCTGCTGGGCACTACTGGATGGAGAAAGGTCAGCACAGATGAGAAGGGCCATAGACTCTCCTGCTGTTGACCTCGGTGCCCTCCTCAAGCCCTCTCTATTCCCTGGACTTCACAGGCCCCAGGATTTCACCAGTATTCCCATCACTGCCACCATCTACTGTGCCCATCTGAGTCCTCTTCTAGGCAGGCGGCAAAACAGTCTGCAGGCTTCACCATTTCCCCTTTTCCTGGGAACTTTGGAACAAGTGCTCCATGCTTTTCTCTGTGGAGAACAGGCCAACGAGGCCCATGTGGAGTAGAAATCGCCTTCCTATTCCACCCTGAAATGTACATGGGTTCAGCTGCCCACATTTACCCCCTTCCCCAACTGCTCTTTTCTTCCTGATAGATGAGAGCTCAGCCTGAGTCCTGCCTACTGGGCTCTGCCCACACACAGCATCCCTCAGGGGAATGCTGGAAGTTAGAGGCGGGGTGAACTAATCCTAGACCTAATCAGTCACTCAGATGCCCCGAGATTCAAGTTCCAGACAGGTATTGTTATTGACATAACCCCAGGTAACATGGAGTCAGCAGCAAGGTCATCCACCTGGAAGGCTAGGCTGGCTGCTTGGAGCCAGCGTGAGGCCAGCATCGGTCACATTGTGGCAGGTCTAGGAAGAAAGGCTCCCTGACCCCACAGAGGGGTCACCATGCAGGTTGTCACACAGGCAGCAACAGTAAAAGACTGCTTGCAATATGCACAAGCCTTTCCTGTGCACAAAGCATTGTCATGTACATAACCTTTGAACTTCCCCACATCTCTTAGGAGGGGACTAGGCAGATATTGTTCCCATTTTGAAGATGAGGAAGCTGAGGTGACTTGAGCAGGGTTATAGTTCCTAAGAAGTAGAGCTGGTGGGCCCATGACCCATTCTCCAGCAGTCTCTTCCTTTACCTCAGAACTTCCCTTCTGCTCTAAATGTACATTGTTCTCCCAACTGAGAACAATGGCAAGCACTCTAGCAGCCTCACTGCTCTAGAGGCTCTCTCTCTCCTTCCAAGAGCTTGTGTTGCCAGGCCCTCACCAATGCTCCTACCCCTGCCTGCCACATCTGTGGCCCTCCCTCTGCTTTGGCCAACCTGTCACCCAATCCTGTGGACTCTTTCTTCCAAGGGGCTTCCACACCTCTTGCACTTGCACTCTGGTGTCAAAACAGACCCTTCCCTCCTGCCTGAATACTGCTGGCCTCCTAGTTGGCCTCCCTGTCGTCTGTCCTGCCCTGTCCCTTCCCTCGCCATCCTTTTCATCCTTTGAATCCAGCAGTACCCTCTCAAGTCCCCCCACCCCCTGGTCAAATGTTCCTAGTGGCTCCCCATCACCTCCACACCCCTCCCTACAACTTAGCTATCAAGGTGCCTTTCAGACCTTATTGCCCACTCCTGAAGGTGCACACGCCTGCCCCTGACCCCTCCCTGCACCCCTGCTTTAGCTCATACTGGTCCACTGAGCCCCTCCTCTATTCCATCCTTCAAGGCTCCACTCTCCTGCATCCACAGGTATCGCCTGACTGTAGAATATATGAGTAGACTGTTTCTTAATGCCTATCCTGCCCCAAGTTCTGAAAGGGATGGCCTCACATCCCACATGATCAGGCCCCCCTACTAGCTACCTGTACCTGGGTGGTCCCATGACCTAGAAAATAGAAAAGCCAAACCACTGGCTTCCAGAACTTGGCATTGGTGTGCTCACCCACGGAACAAAGCAATTCGAGGAGAAGGCTGGGTCTATAGAGAGGGAAGTCAAGGGAGATGCTCAGATTAAAGCAGAAAGGCCATCAGCCCCCAAAAGACAGAGCTGTCTCCATTCCTGACTGCTGTCCAGCCCCAACTCCCATGAGGCCTCGCCATACTCCTGCCAACAAACCCTCCTTCCCTGAGCCCACCTAAAGAGTCCTCTTCTCTACGTGGGATGCTATAGACACCAGCTCGGGGAGCCCTGTGCCCTCTGACAGCCCCAAATGGAAGAGCCATGTACCTGGCAACAAGCAGCTCTGCCAAGTGTCCCTTCTTTTCCTGTCTCCCCTGTATGGCTAGTAAGAGTTCCACACATACCTGGTTTCCTCCATGGGAAGAGCTCCTCATTTAGGGCTGGAGGAGCAGGCAGCTTTGGGGCTGCCTGTACAGCTCACAAGTTCTCTTCTAAAGCTGCCCCTAATCCACACAGAGTCAGGAGTGGCTCCTGCCAGGTATGTTTTGTTCATGTGACCCCATCCCGATCAGGATGGAGTGGACCAAGGGTAGAGACATGATGACCTAAGCTGGGCCAATGGAACTCGCTCCCCTGGGAATCTAGACTCTGGACTAGAGATCTGAGTCCCTCTGAGTGTGGCTGGAACTGCAGCAGAAACACTTGGGGCCGTGGGGCTGAGGAAGGAGGAAGCCAAGCTGCAGACAAGAGACAAAGGGGAGAATCTAACTAGACTTTTCCAATCCCTGCTTAAGGCCAGGGAGCAATCCTGTCGTGGGGTCCTGGAACCCTCTAACAAATCCCCTTTTTTGCTTAAGCTAGGTTCAGTTGTTTTGTTACTTGTACTCAAGAGGTCTTAACACAGCTGGGATCTCCCTTGTGCTCCTCCAGGAATACAAAGTAGGGGCTCGACAAACACACTCGCTGAATGAAGGAAACTGGCCCTGGATTTTGGCTTTCTGATTTCTGCCAAAAGCACCACTGTGCTCTACAAAAACCCTACATATAAAGTGTGTAACTCAGCCCCAGGCAACTTAACGTAAATGTACTTTCTTTGCCTAAAATGCACTATATCCTCATTTTCATCTCTTTTTTGGAAAAAAACAGCACTAAAAGGAAAAGCAGGTGGGAGCAGGCCAGAAAAAACAGCCCATGGCAGTGCAGGCTACAAGTCAAACTGCATCTGCAAATTCTGTGCTACTCCCCGCCACCCCGCCACCCCCACTACCCAACTACAAAAAACTCTGCCCTACGCCACTCTCCCCGTCTACCCAAAATGACCATCAAAGTCTCAGAGGTCACAAAGCTTGTAACTCGGCTGATGGGTCACTTATTCCAGAGGCCATCACAAGGCCAGACACATGAAGCCCAAAGCTGGAAGAAACCTCAGAGGGTGGTCTTGCCTAGTGATTTCCAATCAGGACCCCAAGACTTCAGGGGAACCTCTACTGGCCCCCATCTCCCTGGCATCAACCTGTACAGCACCCAGTTGGTTGTATATATCAAGCTACCTTGTAAGCTTGCATCTGAAGGGGTTCTAGTGGCTTAAAAAAATAGTTCAGCCCAGCCAGTGTGGCTTAGGAGTTGAGTGTTGACCCAGGAACCAGGAAGTCATGGTTCAATTCTCGGTCTGGGCACATGCCAGGGTTGCAGGCTCAATCCCCAGTAGGGGGCATGCAGGAAGCAGCTGCTCAATGATTCTCTCTCATCATTAACGTTTCTATCCTTCTCTCCCTCTCCCTCCCTCTGAAATTAATTTTTTAAAAAAATATTTAAATTAAAAAAACATAGTACAAAATTCCTGCTCCAGACCAACTCCTTCATCATTCAGATGAGGAAGCATTCAGGGAATCATGGGTGCCACACATACTGGTGTCAAGTGGTAAAGCTGGAAGAGAATTCTGGCCACCTGACTCTCCCCACTACCTCTCTCCTGAGGCTGCTCTTTCAAAGGCTCGCTTGGGCAGGGCCACAACCCTGGTCCTGTGTGGGTGAGACCTGGCTGGGGAACACAGAGAGGACACTGAAGACACAACGCAGTGCCCACCATTGGGCACGGAGTCCGAGGTGACCCTGGCTGCATCGGCGGAAGGGCGATGAACAATATGGAACTGTCCTGATGCTAGTCCTCTGCTATATATAGTTTCTCCCCTGAAATGACCTCACGCAGCAGCAAAGCTTGTGGTGTGGCAAAACTGGCTATGTGTCCCCAACTCCAGAGAAGGAGAACACCGCTGAAGAACACAGGAGGTAAATGCGAAAGAAGGGGAGTCTGCAAGATAGGGGGTAGGGGAGCAAGCTTCTGAGGCAAATCAGGAGAAATTTTTACCCTTAAACCCCTAGGCAACAGCAGAGACGAGAAAACCTGAGACACTTGGGTAGTGGACGATGAAATACAAGTCTCAAGTCTGGGGTGCTGGAGCCCCTGGCTTCTCACAGGCTCTAGTCCTTGCTGCTCACAGATGTTGGGTGTCTCTTCCCAAACCACATTATTCATCTGCACCCCATTTGCAGGGATCAGCAGAGGCTCTCTTTGACCTAAATGCCCCCATTTACTCTCAAGACCTTCCCTACCTTGGTGTATACAGCTAACTCGACTCTATTGCCTAAAAGGAAAAAGAAAGGCTAGAAAGATAAACACCAAATGGGGAGTGGGGACTCTCTGGGTGGTGGGAGTACAAAGATTTTCTCCTTTGGGCCTTCTGGTATTGTTCACATTTTTTAACATGAACACATATTACTTTTACAATAAAGAAAAACATATTACTTGCTTCTCTCCAACCTTACCCTCCAAACTCTCCTCACTTACCCCCAATACCTGTTCTATCCCACCTTAACTCTTTCTAAACTGTCTATACATTGTCTTGGTCTCTGCTTGCCTGTACACTGTCTGCTTGAAATGGTTTCACACTTTTGTCTTTGCTTCCTCCCCGCAGACAGATGGAAAGCCACATGTGTAACATTTGCACACGTTTGCAGGAATGAGGCAGGATGTAGTAGAAAGGGCACAGGAACTGGAGTCAGATTTCCTGGGTCCAATACCAGCTCTACCTCTGACTTTGCAGGGCAGACCAACAGCCTGACCAGAAGCTTGACCTCTCTGAACAAGTTCCTTTAGCTGAAGTCCTTAAAATTGCCAATTCCCTTCCCCTACATGATAAGGATGGGTTCTGAGCAAGACTGCCAAACTCACAGTTTTTGAAGAAGTGATCATTTTACCTCTAAAACTAAGGCTCCGATCCAGCCTAAAAATGGGATCCATCCATCCATACCCAAACTAGCACCGGGTGGTGGGCTGCATTCAGGAAGGACAGGGTCCACAGGCTGAAGTCTCCTTGGATACTTCCTCTGGCCCAGGGCCCCTGGCATAGACAAATGCCCAAGGAGTGAGTGGTGCTCTCAGAAGTAGCGGGCTGAGCCTCTCTGTCCAGGACTGCAGGAAAAGTGTCTGACGACCAACAATGGGCCGGGCATCCAGTCCCCAGATCTTCCATGGGCCATGTGTCACGGAAGGACAGAGCTAGACTGAGCTTCTAACAGGAAGGGTCGGCTGCAGATTAAAGGGCCTGACGAAGCTTTCCCTCAGCCTATTGACTCCAAAAACCAGCCCATCCTACTCCCCAGGGAGAAGGCCCAAATAACAGTGCATACAGCCTGTGCAGGTTTTACAGTTTCATTTGGGGCCTTATAAAAAGCCATAATAACAATAAGCTTCCAGCCAAATAAGGCCCCCTTCTTCTCAGCAGCCAGCCCTGGAACAGGCCATGAATAAGAACATCAAATTGGGCCCTGACTGGTTTGGCTCAGTGGATAGAGCGTCAACCTGCGGACTGAAGGGTCCTGGGTTCGATTCAGGTCAAGGGCATGTACCTTGATTGTGGGCACATACCCAGTGGGGGGTGTGCAGGAGGCAGCTGATAGATGTTTCTCTCTCATTGATGTATCTAACTCTCTATCGCTCTCCCTTCCTCTCTGTAAAAAAATCAATAAAATATATATTTTTTTCTGGTCCAATAAAATATATTTTTAAAATTTTTTTTTAAAAAAAAGAACATCAAATTAGGCCAGACCACGATGAGCTCTGGGCTCTGTGAACCTGATGTGAGAGCACAGAGGGAAGAAGAGCAATCAGCAACCAAAGAAGTAGGCCTGGGATGTAAACACGGCATTCAGAGCATCCCCAGCTCCCAGGACTGCCTCCTTAGCTGACCCTGGACCCTCGGCACCCTGTCATGGATCTACCCACTGGAGATGCTTAGGTGGAAGTGTGTTTGGACAAAATAAAAAGAAATCACAGAAGCTCTAGTATTCATCACACTGTAATCTCCTTGAGGAAAGGAATGGACTCTCTATGATATGCCTTGGGCGCAGCACAGTGCCCAGTGTCAGGCAGATGCAGCGAATATTTAGTTTCCCATGGTGGTTAAGGAACAGGCCTTGGGATACAACTACCAGGATTCGAACAACAGTTCATCTGCTTTCATGGACAAATGTCTTAACCTCCCTGAGTCTCAGCTTCCTCATCTACAAAGTAGAGGTTATTATGCCTAACTTACAGGGCTGATGTGAAAACTGAAAGCAATGAAGTCAAACACCTAGTAGGGTGCCTAACACATATGTAACAGAAAATTAATACACGATACCAATTTCAGTGATGATGATTCCTGAAGCTGCTGAGAGAGCTCAGGAAATGAAATGGTCAGTCACATGACCATCTATTTGGGGGAAAGAGTGCATTCTCTAAGTAAATAACCAATATCATGCAATATCCCATTTACAGAGAACAGTGTGGTCTGCTTCCTAAGCACAGCACGGGAGTGGGGAGAGTTGGAAGAAGGGACAAATCCATGAAGGTTGTCACCAAGTGCACTTGCTGGCACATTCAAGATGTGTAGTGTGAGAACTGGCAGAAGTGGACTATTTGCTAGTCATGAGTGACAATGACGTCAGTAAACCAGCTCTACCTGTTTAGAGCCCAATGAGCCCTTAAATTGAAATTGACAGTGAGGTAGATATTGCATGGAAGGAACCAGGGCTGAGAATCAAAAACTGGTCCAGAATCCAAAATCTTCCATTTCTCACAGTGTTATAATGCACATAATAGTAGATATCACTGGGCCTCTCTCCTTAAATGAGGATCATCTCACCCTCAGTGAATTACTAAGAGGATTAGATGAGATGTGTATGAAGTACCTACTGCACAGCCTGCCACACAATAGTGGCTCAATAAATAGCAGTATATACTAATTAGAAAACAAATGGTTTTTTTATTCTAGTTACAGGGGGCTGTGTGTTAAGTGTTAATGTTTATCGCCAGTTTCTTGGAAGTTCATGGAGGAGGTGTTTGCAATTGACAAAGTGTATCAGAGAAATATAGAAGGCTCCAAGAAGGAATCCCAGTGGATCCAGAGATGTCTGACAAGCTGAAGACGGGCCACAGCAAACTAAGGGTGCTCCAGAGCCTTGACCTACCAGGCAAGTAATATTGCATCTGTAAGAAGATAGCCCGAAAAGTACCCACGACTAGTTGTTGTTGGAATCAGCAAGAACGTGGAGGTGTTGCAAGGGATTTGTTACTAACAAGAGTTGAAGTTCTTAAGTTTTTGTGAATGATTCACGTTTTCTTAAATGAAGTTGAATTCAAGACTATCTCTATACAAACACCATTCTTGGGCAACTTGCTTCCAATTTGCTTTTCTGAACGAATGATTGTAATGACAAGAACAATAGATAACCAGTCAGCACATTATATTCAATGGAAATTAGGTTTTGTATATAAACTTCATTGGCCTTGCTTCACAACTTGGGGGGGAGGGGAGGAACAGTTTGGAGACAGCTAGTATAAATACAGTGACAAGCATGGTGAAATAGTAAAAAATAATAACTACCATTTATTGGGTATTTTAATATGTCCCAGGCACCATTTAAGGACTTTATGTTCATTAACTCATTCAATTCTCATGACAACCCCATGGAGTAGGTACTATTATCTCCATTTTACACATAAGGAAAGTGAGGCCCCCCAAATCCAGAACAATTTGCCTGAGGCTAATGAGCTGGAGGAGCTGGGATAATAAAATGCAAATAGTCGCTACATGAATAAAATACTTGTCATAATTGTCATAATTATCTTCTACCAAAAGAAAACTATATCTTATAAAGATCCTCTTTGAAAGATCTCAGATATTGCAAATCAAAATAAATGCATGGCCAGCGCTTTCTATATACTCTGACTCCAGGGAAGGGCCAGAGAGCGGCCCAAACCTGATTTCCCCGTGGGATAGGGGTGGGTACACTCCACTCCTCCCAACACTCTAAGCTGAACAGGAGTCAGTAGAATACAAATCCCCAAAGGAACACTGAATTTGGCCTTGGTTATTGTCATGAACTACCTACTGCTATCATTTGCTAAGCATCTGCTGTGTGTGGGCATCTTGCTGATCACTTTACAACAGGATCCCATATACTAGTAATCCTCAACTACACTACCTTTGCCACCATTTTACAGATGTGGAAACTAAGGCTCTGACCTGAGGCTTTCTCACTACTCTGTCACTTCTTTGTCAATAATCTTGAGCAGCTT